TCTGTGGTTCTCTCTTTAAAATCTGTTTCGCGCCATTTTTTTTTCGACCTCTCGGCGCAAACGACTCGACCGGGACGTCGTCCCTCTGCTCGTGTCGTTCTGTGTCGACCCGGCGCGTACACGCGGAAATGGGGCAGCGCTTTCTGGCGGCGCGGTTCCGCTCACACCATTCAGCCGGCCGGCGTATGCCGCTCTCTGTGGGAGGCGAATCGATAGCTCACTTGGCTGAGCGTCACGCGGGAGCCACTGGCCCTTGCCTCGACTGCTCTGCGTCGGCGACAACCCCCTCCACTTTCCCAGCTTTTGCGCCCGCACACGCACACACATGCGCACACACACCACTCCTCTCCACCTCCCGGTCAAGACAGAGCCTTGTGCTATGCGGTTGCCGTCCTTCCTCGGCGCTCACTTGACCTCCAAAAAACGCAACATTTAGAAATCGCCCGAAAAAAAAAAAGCAGAGAACAAGTAAAGTGACTTATCCGCGTCAGCTATTAGAAAGTAGACAAAGAAAAAACGGACTCTCGGCCAAGTCACGTGCTGGGAGCTGCCACCGTGTCATTGCCTCCTCAACGACGATATTAAGAACTTTTCGCTTGGTGCCTCTCCTTAAGTGGGGCGAAGATTCCCGAAAAAGAACTCCCTTTTTTAGACACATTTGTGTCGCCCTTCTTCGCTCATGTTGATCACTAAGACACACCAGCGCCACATTTTTACGTCTGTCTTGCCACAATGAGCGGTGCAATCCAATTGAGCTAGACAAGTGCGAAACATCGTAAATTTGGCCGCTGATCAACGGACAGGGAACACGGCGTGACGAAAGCTGTTGGCTTAGGGTTACGTTGCAAGTATTGCTACGTTCTGGACAAAAAAAGAAAAAAAAAACTAACGAAGGGGATGGCTCTATACATGATAACGGCACTGCGCTTCTCTTTCTGTGTTAGGGTCCCACGTCGTCGTCGGCTCTACGGAGTGGGTAACCCGTCCTCGATGCTGCGCTCCTCCTTTTCCCGTTTCTTTCTGATCTCAGGCCGGCCACCAACCCCGCAGGCGATGTTGATAAAGCGGTGAAAAACGAGGCTGGCGCAGCGTATCTAGAGTTTACGCTGGGGCCTCAGCCAGGGTCTCTATTCTGGTGTTCTGCCCACAGGGTCCTAGGTGACGTGTCCCACTGAACGCGGCTAAGATGTCTGTTGGCTTCCTGAATGACTGATACAATTCTGTCTTCCTGATAAAATCGAGCTTCGCCTTCTGGGGCACAATTTCTTTCGTACGTTCGTTAGTCGTTGCCGTATATAGTTGAGAGGAAGGAAGAAAGGAAGAAAGAAAGAACGAATGAAAGAAGGAAGGAAGGAAAAAAGGAAGGAAAGAAGGATGGACGAACGGGTGGATGGACAGACACTTGAAAACTGGAAGCACGGACGGACGGACACACACTTGAAAGAGAGAAGGACGGACGGACGGCTGGATGGATGGATGGGCAGACACTCGTGTACCCTGCTTTAGCTGCACTTAAAAAAGATTCAAGATGACACTTTTGGTCAAAATTGGTGCACTGTACGGCTTGCCTAATAACCCACCGTGAAGTTCTGGTGCAATAAATGCAAAATGAAGAAAGGAAGGAAGGATGAAAGGAATGAATAAGTGGAAGGACCGGAAGGTTAGCCAGTTCTTAAGTCGGCTGTCTACCCTGTGTCAGGCGATTTTTCTTGTAATTACTATGGGGGCGGTATATCGTACCGTTTTGAAAACAATATAAAGATATAGGCGGAGCCTCCATTTCGAAAAACGATACCAGCGCTCCTTTACTACGCCTAACCAATCCTCCTTTAACGCGCAGTCTAGACCAGTCACGACGATGGGCTACGCCTTCCCCTCCCTGTAAGGAAAAAGGGTGGCGAGGCCAAACGAAAATTTGAAACCAGCTCAAACCGACGTTCTAACCCCCTAAACTCCTTTTTATGGCACGTATTCACAAAATTCATGTGGCAGCATTATCACAAAGCAAAAGTGCACATATTTCTTTTTATAACAACTTTTGGGCCTCGGGTTTGTTTACTGACCCTATAATGATCTCCGTGTGGCGTTGCACTACCGTGTAAGAGGTCGCTGGCTTGATGAAATTATTTATTTCCAATGGGGGCGAAGTGCTAGGGCACTCGTGTACCGTGCTTTACTTGCGCTTCAAAAAAGATTCAAGGTGCTACTTTTGGTCAATATTGGTGCATTATACGGCTTGCCCAATAAGCCACCGTGTAGGTTCGGTACGTTAAATGCAAAAATAAAAATTGTTACTGCTACTCTATAAAAAAACGAAAAAATTTCAGTGTTGTAGAGATACAATTTCTAAAGAAATGATCGCACACGCACACGCACACACACACACACACACACATACACACACACACACATACATACATACATACATACATACATACATACATACATACATACATACATACATACATACATACATACATACATACATACATACATACGTACGTACGTACGTACGTACGTACGTACACGCATACATGCATACATGCATACATACGTACGTACATACATACATGCATACATACGTACATACATACATACATACATACATACATACATACATACATACATACATACATACATACATACATACATACATACATACATACATACATACAATACATACATACATACATACATACATACATACATACATACATACATACATACATACATACACGCATACATACGTACACATACACACACACACAGCGTGTATTTCAAGAAATATGTCCCATAATATAAAAATACAAAAAGGAGATATGTGCGTGCTACCTGCGGTGCCATCTTTATGTGGCCGAAAGCAGCCGGACAAACATTATTACGGCAATAATTAGATGGGTGATTTAAAACAATTAACCTTTGATCGAATTGGCGAATTCAAGTCTTCCCTGCGAACAGTCCATAGCCGTTTTGAAATTTCTGAGAGACGGCCACTAGTAATCACTGCGGGTCCGGGATGATGAAACCTGACTAATTTAGCAGGCGAAAGCGAGACCGACGGCCAAAAAGCGGATCTGACATTCACTGCGAAAACAGTTTCAATGATGACGCTTTTTGTCGTATTGGGGTATATATATATATATATATATATATATATATATATATATATATATATATATATATATATATATATATAGTTCACAGAAAGGAAAGGTTGACTGTATAGATGTTCGTATTGAATAAGATTCAACCTTTCAAAAAAATTTACTTTCATGATGCTATCAGCAATTACAATTATGGTATTGTGGGGCCTTATAGCGATAACAATAACGGAATTTATCTTGCATGTGTGGGCATTAAATCGGGAAAGTCACGTTTAACTTTGGCTGACCAGGCCGCTCAGCTGTGCTAGGAAATGAAGAAAAAAAAACTTTTACCTCATACAAAGTCTTTCCATGCGTTCTCAATAGATGTTTTTAACGAAAATTACCGCAAACCCAGCTATATTCTCGTGAATTTGTTCAATTTTCAGGTAACTGCAACAATTCCTTACATTCTTTATCTTACCACAAAATGTCTGTTGGCTGAAAGGAGTCAAGCAACTCACGACGCAGTCTTCTCACACCTACAAGGAGATAATAGACGCAACTAATATTTTAGAATTTATCACCGCCCTCTAGTGCCCACTGTAAGTGGTACTGCCATTCGCCTATTTTTTCTTGCTAAAATCTTGAAATCACCCCCTAACTGCACACACATGCGCTAAAGTTATTTATGTGTTATTTCGCAAAAAGGCGACACATTAAGCGCAGAACCGAGAAGAGTTTTGGAAAGACGTTTGTATTTTGCGCATGTGTTTCTCTGTAACAAGATGCTGAATGTAGCCCTGCTGGCTAGAAGAGTATATTACCTTCACACGCTGCAGAATTTTCTATTGGTGTGGTTTGTGTGTGTTTTTGTGTTGCTTTTTTTTCGACCCTACCTAATGAATATCATTCCTTAGGTACGGTCGAAAATGTGCGTACTAATTTGGTGCCATGTTCAGTAAAAGATTTAATGCTAGATAACTTGATAAGAAATTTTTTTCTATTGGCCATCGACTGCGGACGTGTCTCTGGGGAAAACATTCGGCCAAGGGCAAAAATGTTTTGTGTACAAGGCCCGCCTCGATGAAACAGTGGCTAATGTTCTGGAATGCTGACCCGAAGGTTTCGGGTTCAATCTTGACTTCAGCAGTCTCATTTCGATGGAGGCGAAATGGTAGAGCGCCGTGTATTGTGCGATGTCAGTGCACGTGAAAGAACACCAGATTGTCATGTTTCGGAGCCCTCCTCCACTACGGCGGCAGCCTACTTGGCTTAGCCTCCCTAATCCCTCGCCCCTTCGATAAATAAATGTTGTCACTCACTTCACTATGGCGTCTCTATATTGTGATTTTGGGACGTAACCTGCGAGATATTATTATTATTATTATTATTATTATTATTATTATTATTATTATTATTATTATTATTATTATTATTGTTATTGTTATTTTTATTATTATTATTATTATTCGCACAAAGACATTCGTAAAATAGGCCTATTGGTTAGTGTGAACTTGTTTGTTTCATAAAGTTTGTATGACTTTATGCGATGTTATACGTGTAGGTTTATTTGGCATACTTCATGCATGATGGCGGGCCGATCCTGCTGCTTTGCCGATTTACGGACGGGGTCAGTACCTCGTCAAGCCCTTGAGCTTTTAGTCCTGTACTCCTCCTAATTAAAGGAAATAAAATGATTGATTGATTCATTGATTGATTATGTGCTGCTTGGCCTTTTTTCTCCAATAACGGTTTCCTTCACGAGGTGTACGTATGGTTCGTTCATTGTGACGTTCTATATTGACATGTAGCGGAGGGGCAACGTGCAGAACGGCGTGACGGCGTGGCTGAGCCGGTGACTTGGCTTGTTGGCATTCGGTTCACACGTGTTCCTTTTGTATTCGGTGCACGCAGGCACCTACCAGGGCCAGTGGCTGCGCGGCACGCGGCATGGCTACGGCGTCCGGTCGAGCGCCCCCTTCGGACTGGCGGCGCACAACCGGAATCCTGGCTCCGGTGGCAAAGTCGAGGTTCGCACCTCGCAGACGTCGCTGGACAGCAGCAGCCACCCCGTGGACCCGGCCTCCGAGAGGGACCGCAAGATCGACGACTGTCGCGGCGGCTTCGTGCTCAAGGCGCGAAGCGACGAGCCTCCGCAGCGTCGTCGCTCTCTGGTCGAGAAGTCGTCCAACTTCAAAAAGTCCATCCTCCAGGTGCGTCCCTCGACCCCATTTCTCTCGCGCTGCGAAAATAATGTGGCGCCTAATGAATCTCAAACTTCATTCATTGCCGTTCATTCATACTCAGCGCAATCGCTGCAAAGATGACAGTGTGGAATACACTGACCGTCTCATCAGTGGGCTGAATTGGGGAACGATAGTGATCGAAGGCAGGTAGGACAAAAGATTTTATAATTGCGACAAAAGCTCGAGACCCGTATTCATGAATGTGTCGTACGCTGGGCGTGTTCGTGAGAGAAAATTTTTCGTGATGCTGGATGTATTCGTCACCCTGTGTGGTCAGCCAAAAGATTAGATTACTCACGAATGAAACGTTTTGTGAGCTCGACGTCTGATGCTATACGACTGGTATAAACATGGACTCTGGCCAGCCGACCAATTTCACTTTGAGACAGTCTCACTGATTCAGGCCATTACAAGCTGTTTCATTTCTCATGACGCTAGGAAGACACGCGAATAGGAGGCATAGAGTTGCAAAGTTACAGACAAATGTTTGATGCTGTAAGCCAGAACATCTGTTCTAGTTTGCTTCTTCCCCTCAGTAGCCTTTTAGCAAGAGTGGAAATATCTCGTGTTCTTGACTACATTGCTCCTTCAGATATCCTGCTAACCTCAGTATGAAAAATAAAATGAACTCTCTATGTCTTGAAGATGCAAAAAACGAAGTTTATAATTATAGTTTGGCGTTAATTATTGCTTGCTGTTTTCAAGATTAAGAGTAGTCAATTTGGCACCCCTCGGTATGCACTTGAATAGCTGTGCGTGTGCTTATAAGCTCTATCTGGGCCTGTGATCCCAAAACATTTCGCAGGCTTGCATTTTCCGTAAAATGACGCACGGGTAATGGTGATAATGGTCATGTTATTAGCCAAGGTGGATCTATAATGGCAAACAATGTTTACAGATAAAACTATTTGTGAACTACGTTCCCCGACGTGATGTAAGAAAGTTGCGCGTACACCTTTCCCTTTTTTGGCTGGAATACCGAGATTATTAAATGCACGCATCCCAGAGACGTGATGAGGTGAAGACATTGAGGCATTTTTAGGGAAGGAGGAGGGAGGCAATAAGATAAAAATGAAAATGGCACTTGAAATCAATGCCCACGCTCTAAAGCCTTGCAACCGCAACAACAGCAACCCCTCATCTTCTCATTCGGAATATTTTGCACTGCATTTAAGCTTGGCGAAAACCAGAGCCTTACTCGTCACGTAGCGACCAAGTTCCAAACTTTCAAGTTGGAAAGGATCACGAAAAAAAAAAATACAGGCGATTTCCTTACTGGACACCTGTTTTGCTTTCTTCATATCACTTTTGTGCAAATAACTGACATTGGACAACGCAAAGCTCTTTCGGACACGCAGGACAGCACCCTGAAAGTGGGACCTCAGCCATTTGAATTGAAGATGTACTGTCACTTTCTGTTTGAGTTGCAACTCAGTCAACAAATGCATTAGATACACTGAAGCGTGGTAGTGTCAAGGACTGAACTATTGAACCGTCGAAATAAAAAAAAAGCTGACAATGAAGGGTGCAAGAAAGGTACTAGCTGAGCCAGGCTATGCGCATGTTTTGTCCTATTTTTCACTTCGCTTCATTTTGTCCTTCTTTCACTCCGCTTCGCTTCGCTATTTTTCACTTTGCTTCGGGTTTTCGTTCTTGCTTTTTTTTCTTATTTTGCAGCTCTGCTACGTTAGCTATGCTAACCAGTAAAACACTTCACAGTTGTTGGCACCGTTAGAAATGCAACATAAAGCAAAACAAAATAAAACGGTCAAAACAAGCTCATTCTTGTACCTATTTGGTTCATGATTATCTTCCAAGCAGCTTATGGTAGAGCCGTCAGCATGACGGGAGACGAATGACAGGTTTGAAAAACAGCGAGCAGAAATTAATGTTGTTATACGACTCAGTCACTGGAATACGACAGAAATAATAGTGTTGGTATTACAACAGTGGATAGCCAACGTGAGGGTTCATTTAGTCATTTTTAGCCAACAGATTGGCCATAATTCAGACAACACTGGCCAACGTGAGCCATTGCTAGAGACTGTCGGAAAAATGCAAGTAACTACCGTAGTTAAAAGGATGTGATTGAATGCGACGCTATCTTAGATGGCACTATCTTCGGGATCAGCCCACATTTTCTGACTAGGACCCCATGCCTTGTTTGAGAACGTAAGGGGAACATGACAAGGAAGACATTGTCTCCAACATTGACGCAAGAAAGGAATACGTGTGAGAGATATGACAGTTTTTGAGAGAAAGAAAAGTATTTAGGGGAAATATCTTATTTTATTGTGGTGTATCAAGTATTACGTAACTTTATGTGCTTTGTACATTTTTGTAGGTAATTGTATTATCTCCTTTTTTATGAATCTCTACAAGGGCAGACAGTATAAATAATAGAAATAAATCAGCACCAGAACTCTGTAGCAAGACATTGCTAGGTCGTTGTTTTTAATAGTGAGCGCCAGAATACTGCGACAGCGAAGGTCTTGTAAGCAGAGATAGTGGCCTTGGGCATACATTACATGCACAAAGTAGGCCACCGTGAATGCTGCTCTAGAAGTCAGGTGCCGGCGTATTGTCTTGTTATGGAAGTGAAGACAGCGTCTCAAGTTCTGCTTTCGTGAACACGAGCAGATTAACGTTATGCTACGTTCCGCTAGACTGACATTCTGCTACGAAACGTTGAGCCTTCTGTCATAGGAATTAGTCACAACACGGAAGTGAAACGTGTCTGCACATAAGTGGTTGCGGCTTTTTTCATCGTTACTAAATGGAAGTCTATAAATTTGGACGCTGTCTACTTTAAATCATGGCGGCAATTCAAAGCGCCCCTTTCAATTTACACACAGATGAACTCCTTATTCTTTCGCCATCGCTACGTGTCTTCCTGTGTTTGTTCTACCTACTTTCTATAATGGTACGGGATTTACATAATGTAGACGATAATTTCTCATTGAAGCTGCCTAAGAGGTGTTACCTGAGTAGGCTGTAACTGGAGGTGAAAGGAAAACCGGAAGTGAATTCAGTGGTTGGAAGTGGAAACTGGAAGTGCATTAAAAAACATCTCGCCAGGACGCTGGCATACTGTACTACTGACGCCATTTCCCTTTCCTTGACTGAAATTGCGCCGTTAAATACTTGCTAATGGTTGGCATAAAGCAGTTCCGTGATAAAATAAAACTGTTCATTTAGTCTCCATGCGACGTGATGACCTGAAGCAAGTGAACTAAGGTTAGCCAACTCCAAGCTTCGCCTAAATATTGATGTTGGATATTCCAAATGAAAAAGTAGGGTAAGAGTGGAATAATGGCAGCATTGCCTTTTTTTGGGAAGTGAAGTGAGTACACATACTGTGTATACCAAAAGGCCATTTACTCATTATTCCAGGCATTTCACATTGACAACTAGAAGCAGGCTGCACCTCAAAAACACTAGTTGTCAGGTGAAACATCTCCTGTTTCACACGGGTGAAATTACAAGTTGGCTGACGCCAGCATATGGCAGGGCTCATTTCCACAATTTCTTGTGCACTTTCATCCAGAAATAACTGTTGTTTTATGAGTCGTGCAAGAATATGCCCAACTATATGTGCTCCGAGTGGAATTCTTTTTTTGTTTTTTTTCTTACAAATGTTCAGTTTTTGATAAATGAATGAAAATTAAGAATGACTGCAGAGAAGCTAAGATTTATTACAATGTGTAAAACGTCCTTTCCGTGTTGCAGTTGAACACAAAATTATTATTGAAGGTATGAAAGTACGGTAAAGACCAAATGTTGCGAATAGTCAGTTTCACTTATTTGTACAAATAAAAAAAAGGAAACCCTGCCATAAAACACCAACAAAATGAGAAAAAAATGGTCATTCCATGCCAAACGACCCAGCCAATTTGCCTACCAGCTCAAATGTATCCGAAAAAAAAAATGCACTAACTTACTGCATTGAAAAGAGTGAAGTGGTAGGATATTTCATAGAGACAAATATTTTGGTCACGTGGATGCCTTCCGCACTTCCCAGAATGTCGTGTGGGTGTTCTCTGTGAAAAAAATATTTTAAAAGTGCAGCTTCTTTTTTATATGCCAAACTTGGTCTACATATTAAGTAAATGTGCTTGTTTAAGGTGCTTGAAGCTGAGTAACATTAGCACCATTTTTCTGCCACATACGTCTCAAAGAATAAAGCCGAAATGGGTTATGTTTTAATTTTTTCTATATAATACGATAGTTTGTATGAATAGTTGAGCTTCGCCTCAATTCTTGGAGGCGTATGTGATATAAAATTTGTGCTAATATTACTCAGCTTCAAGCACCTAACGTAATCACTTTTACTTCATTTGTAGGCCAGACTTAGTATAAAAAAAAGAGAGGTACGTTTTAGTTTTTCCCTAAGCAACAATCAAACGACATTTTGGGAAGTTCATAAAGCACCCACGTGAGCCCAAAAAATTTTCTCTCTAAAGTTCAGTAAATCAACGCAGTAAATGTTTTTCAATGCAGTAAATCAGCACAATTTTTTATATATTTGAGATGGTCGCTGAAATGGCTGGCATGTTTGGCATGAAATGACCCAATAGGAATAGGAGAAAAGAAAACAGATGGTACATAAAAGGGTTTATTGCTTTCTGGTTGCGACACTATGTCGCAACCCTCGATGTAGACTTCTATATGAAGTCGCTGAGATTCAGGAGAAAATGGAGGTATGTGTGTCAACTTTTCACGATAAAGTGGCTGGTATCGCACATAAAATGTTACCGACAGCCGTTTCAGCTGTTCGTATTTCTCAGCGTCACAGGGGAGCTTGCGTACAGCGCGATACTATCTGCGCAGTACTAGCCAGACGCCAGACCATTCGAAACGTGATGTCGCACTCGCAGTATTTGTCTGTTCCTTTCTCGGCGCTATTGGGAGCCCCTCTTTGTCGTAAATCTCGCCAATAAATTTTGGTAGGACTTCGTACAACTAGCAACAGCGATCAAGAAAGCTTCGGGTGCGTGTGATTCTGTTTGTATTCTTGTAACGTGAAGAACGTTACTTTGGGTCATGCAGCCGGTACAATAAAGTTTCTTCGCAAATACAGGAACGAAATTGCACCTAAGCAAGTTCGATATACGTATATACCCCTGCAGAAAAATTGCGACTTCTCGGCGGAATGTTTTCTCTTTTCCTCAGCATCATTAATTGAAGGCTTACCTGATGTTTTATTGTAGTAGGCGAAACTGTAGCGTTTGCCTTATACCGATGGTTATCTTCCCCCCTCTTTAGTTTATTGTCCTCAAACTTCTCAGGGCACGTCAAGTGTAGAGGAATCGCATTTACTTTACGAAGGTCCTCAACATTACGCAGTCGCCTGGCATGTCCATATACGTATGATTATTCTCAGTTGCGAGCTTTAATAAATTGTCGACTTCCTTATTTCACTACTGTTAGCTGCCTATGAATATTTCCATATGTTTACACTGTGCCTAGCTGAAACTGTGGAGAAGGAGAGAGTCCGCCGACAGAGCATTAAATTTGCACAGCTTGGCCCATGACATTTCACAGCGGCGCGTTATTGGGACACGCTGCGGCTTGGCGTGGACCCGGCGCTTGTTCGGGACGCTGGGGAACTCACTGTTTGAGCACTTTGCTTCCAGGGCCTCCGAATCAAGAAGCAGCACAGCACAGGCGACATCGATAAGCGGGGTGTGAGCTCGGGCTCGTCGCTGCGTTCGTCGGGCTCGAATATGAGCTCGGCCAGCTCTGAGTCGGCCCAGTCTGGGCTCACAGAAGCGCACACCGATTCAAACGCCTCCTTCGTGTCACAAGTTTGTGCCTTTTCATTGTTTTCCCATTACTCTGCATGCTTTTATTTATTTATTTTTTTGCGTGCGCGGCTACAAGCACAACAGTCAAAACCCGGTCTTACGAGTGCGGCTTGCGGGGCTCGATGTTGCCGCTGGACTGCAAGGGGAAAAAAAATTGGACAAAAAATAATAGAAAGGTTCGGTTGCAGAGTGGCTGCTTATTGCTTGACCAAGACAAGCTTGCGTACTACAGCCTGCAAAAGCTACGAGCATGTTTCATCCCTTCTTTTCTTTATTATTTTCTTTTCAATTTCTGTTTTAGTTTCTTGTCTTCCTTGAAGCGCTTCCTTTTATTTGCTTTTTTTAATATATATTTCTCCCCTCGGGCAACATTAGGACTGGCTTCTTTCGTTCCGCGTTCTCCTCGTGTGCCAAAACGAACGTCAGAAGGCGCCAGAAAAATAGCGAGCGCTTGCGGCATGCTGGCGCCCTCTAGCGAACGCGTGACAAAACAGCGTGAAAAAGCTGCTTGCAAGTTGGTTTCGCTGCGTGGCAGAAAGGCGTTGCGGAGAGCTGCATGCCAGTGTGTGCCGGAGGAATGTGTGATGCATTTGCTATAGCAAAACGAAAAAAAAAAAATTGAACGAATGACCGTTGTAAGCAGTAAGAATTGACAAACGCCATCAGTTTTCGTGGCTCTTCGAAAAATTCTTGCAATGAAAGGTGGTCTAGTGAATGATGAACGAAACTAGTGCATGAAAGTTTCTCTTTGTAACAAGAATTTCATCCGGTACAGCGCTTGTGCTACTTGGGCTTGATCGTTCCTAGAAATTATGGGGATATACATGCTGCAAACGCATAATTTCAATGTCGTTCCTGTATTTGGCAAGCAACTTTGATGCTTCCGAGTTTCTTCATAATCATCGTGAGTCGCGCAAATCAATATGCACTTCATTTGCATCAGTTGGAATGATGATAATACAATTAGTTTTCAACAGCATTGTTTATATCAAGCCTTTACAAAAACACATAGCACTGCATGTACGTTTGTTTATTTGTTGGTTTGTTTGTTTTGGTGGAATGCTCTGTAGGTTATCTGTTTGTTTGCTCTGAGCATGTTTGTTTTGTTTGCCGGGCCGATATTTATTGTTTAATGTCTTACACCATACGTTTCGTTTGCCGTTAGTTGTGTATATATGATTGGACTTAACTATAACTGGCACTGCCTCAGGGCAGAATAACCAAAATGCTGTTTTCCGTTTCGTTACACCGGGTCTTGATTGCTATGTTGGTGCCGTGCCAGTCATTATAACTTATTACGTCAATGCATGTTCTTGAAATACCAGTAAAGTCGGACTGCTGTCCACATAGGGCAAGAGTTACATTATTTTTTCTTAATGTCACCCTGGCATGTTTGAATAACATTCTTTTCTCGTGTGTTTCTTCGAGTAAGCATTGGTTAATAAGAATAATTTCACTACTCTTTGTAATGACGTTCGAACAATAACTGTTGATTGGCATTTTAGTGTCTAGTATGTTCCCCGCCTTGTTACATCAATGTATTGTAGCTGGCCTGCTCGCTTTTTTTAATAATAGTGCAAACTTCTTCATAACTGATAACTCGGCAGTGATATTACTTCTTTATAGTTTTCGATGACACGTGAAAAATGCGGACTGTCGGGAGATGACTTCCGCTAATGCCTTCTTTGAATCTAATTTCCGTTAGCCATAGGCGTGCGTGCGCAGGACTGCCCTTCAGAAAGGGGGGGGGGGCGGAGGCTTATCACAGCCCCCCCCCCCCCCCTGTTAAGGCAATGTATGGGGCAGATGTTTCGCCCCCCCCCCCGCCTCTTAGGCGGCTACGATAGACGCCCCCTCCCCTCTTACGCACGCCTATGCACGTAGCCATGAAAAGTCATGGGTAAAGTCGTAGATAGGCGATCGTAAATTAATATCGTGAGGAGCTAAAGGCTGTCCACGTTACACCATGAATTATTTGTTTCGTCATTTCGAGCTTGTCGCATGATAGCCCTTTGCCTAAGGCACGCACATCTCTTCACTGTCGATCGCGATAACAATGAATTCGAATATCACGCGACGAGGTAGAAAAAATCTTTGTGCTAGACTTCTTGTTGATTCGCAGTGCAGCTACTACAAACTTCAGAATTTGTGCTAAATTCATCTCTTCGGGTTAACAACGAGAGTAATTACAAGAGAACGCTAAATGACTTAGGGTAACGTGAACTTCGTCATCTATTTTTCACAATTTCTGCCTGTTTTCTGCACGTGGCCTCGAAAATCAAGTTTATTTTATCTTTGGTGGAGTCGTATAGAATGTCAGTCTCTGTAAGAAAGAAGTATTCTACATAAAGTATTTATTAAAGTATTACGACAATAATATAAAACAAAAGCAAGGCTCGGTAGACAAAGCAGCGTAATTTACGCATAATGTGTAACCATCACATATTCGAACAAGATTATTGTTTTTACTGAGGTGTAGTTTGCTTGCTTAGCTTCATTTCTTCCAGCCATACAGTTTTGAGCAAGCGCTTTTCAGCTACGCATTGCATACGTCCCCTATTTTCTATTTATCTTTTATTATTCGGTACATGTTTCTCGCATTTGTTTATGGTACATTTCACAATTTATTTAGCTATGAAACACAAGTATATCTTAAGGGAAACTTATTAAGCACATCACGACGCATAAGGCAATAATTCTTCCCTAATGCAGTTGAAGTTCAACTGTTCTGCAATATGGTATGCTTTATGTAAATCACACAATACAATCATGCTTAGCGTATGGGACAGAATGCCGAGAAAAGTGCCTTAATTACAGTTCTCATATTAATTTTTTGTAGGTTGGTATTATCTATTAGTGTACTTTTTTTGTGCATGCTTATATTCTATGTCTGTCAAATACATTCTAGTGAAACAGTTAAAATGTATTCTTCAGTAATGTTGAAATATAGATATTATCTTTCGTGGATAATTAGTTTTACAGGAACTTTTTGTATAGACCAGAAACAAGGACTGTGTGTTATTTACGATAGAGAGGCCCATGAGTATAGTTGTGAAATATGGTGTGCCGTTCTTCAACTAATCTAAATCACGCATTCATGTCAAGATATTTCCTCCCTGATCAAAAGTGGCACCATGTGAACTTTTTTTTCTCCACACGGCACCCAAAAACTTACCGTCATCAAATTGTACGATAATGTCGCAGATGCATTTCGAAATAAATCTAGCCTTGCTAGTTTCGAGAACAGGTGAACAAAAGTGTTTTTAGGCAAGCGCAATAGTACACACACACAAAAAAAAGCGCCAGAAATTACCAGGGACACTGACACAGGGCGCTGAGCAGGTGCCGTCTCCCACATTTTCTAGATTCCTGCGCGTACCTCGTGTATATATGGTGGTTTTGGCACGTACAATCCGATAAAATATTACAGTTATTTGTGTTCTCTAGTTTTGTTTTTCCGCTACTCGAACTCAAGGATACTGATTCGTTTTGAGCCTGCATGTCGAAAAAGACAACGCGGAGAGTGTGAAATTGAGAAGCGTTGCAGCAGTCTCGTGTGGCTGTCAGCGCGTCGTCAGGGTTCTTGGCGGGGTGTGCTTCGCAGGAGGACATGACAGACCAGAACGTCATGGAGACGTACATGGGCGAGTGGAAGAACGACCGGCGCTCGGGCTACGGCATCGCCGAGCGCTCGGATGGCCTCAAGTACGAGGGCGAGTGGTACAACAACAAGAAGTATGGCTATGGTGTCACCACCTTCAAGGATGGCGCCCGTGAAGAGGGAAAGTACAAGAACAACCTGCTAGTCACGTCGGGCAAGAAGAAGCACCTATTCCTGCTGCGCTCGGCCAAGTTCCGCGAGCGAGTCGAGGCCGCCGTCGCAGCCGCCCTGCGGGCCTCGCAGATCGCGCTGCAGAAAGCCGATATCGCCATCTCGAGGTGAGCATGCGAACTCGGCGTGCGTCACAAAGCTAACAGTAAGCGCTTGTGGCGTCGAGGGTGTGGGATCGGGATTAGAGGTTAACAGCCATTGAGGCGATGAATTCCACAGTAGATATACCAGTGAGCGGCTGCTAACTGGAGTAATAGGTATGCGTCATTTTCAACTTTCCCCCTCGTCCCTGTCACAAACAGCTCCGGCGTCCTTGCCTTAGTGGAACACTTCCAGTCATGCTAAACAGAATAAACTAAGCTTGTCAACATAATCAACCGAAGATGTCGAGACTGAACAAGCCATAGCAAGCGGAAACAAACAAACAGTTTCTGGATAGCAATTTCCTGTTTACACTGCAAAGCTTATAAGAATGTGAAATAGCTGAAGGGATCCAAGCCTCAGCCTCTGCGTAGCACGCCAGTTATAACAGAACAAATCTGTACTGTTATCTTCCGACAGACACAGTCAGGTTCACACGCGAAATACATAAAACGTATATGCGGCCTCGTGAAGACACCTTTGGTGAAGTCGAATCGACTTTTAAATGCTGCGTTCGACCGCGATCCTGAAACACACACAAAAAGGAAGAGTTGATGTATTTCTCAAATGAGAATATACTTCTCATAGTGTCTGATTTCAATTGAGCGTGGGCCACTCTTTGAAGAATACATGACACAGCCGTAGCCATGCGAGTGCACTCAAACAGAAAAGATGGCAGTCAGTCGAGGTATACACACTGCCTAAACACTGGCACACTCCAGTGTATAGGAGAGTACGTCAAATGTCAGCTAATGAATGTTGGGTAAACAGCACATGATAAACAAGTATACGGGGAGGACAGGCCTACAGATCTTGAATATTCCACATGAGGGTGATAACTGCAGCGCCTCTTGACTGCAGCGGAGAGCTGTATGCATTATGCAATTTACTCAAGTTTTCTGTACGAAAAGTAAGGGGCAGCATCATTACACCTAAAAGGAACGGCCAATCTGAGATCACCTCTATAGATGTCTGCCTGATGACTGCGTGAGAGGTTTCGAACACACGGACTTTGGAGTGACAGAAGCGAACAGGTGATAAACGAAAATCCGGCTTCATCTCATCTAACGAGTTTTTTTCTCCCCAACGAACACTGGAAGATGATTTCTTCAAGACCTCAGGACAGTTTATTACCCACTTACCTCTGGGTCTTGCAACTAAAACAAGCGCTCGTTCAAACTCGCGCTTGGTCTGAAGCAGCGTTCCGGCTCGTTACAAGGTTTACCTATAGATTCAAAGAAAAGATCTGGTAAAAAGGGCGTATTTTGTCCCTCCACAATAATCATCTATGTCGCGCTACTTTCATTGCACCATCGCCGCGCCCCTGGCACTTTCAGGTAACGAACGACATGCGCGAACGACATAGCTTTCTTGATAAGAAAGTAGCCAGTCCCGAGTTTTCGAGAAAGGAAGTGCAAGCAAGCGGGATGATGATTATTGTTGTGGGACAAAAAGACACCCTTTTTACTCGATCTTTTTCTAGAGAGTATATGCGAGAAATTAGCAGCAGAGAAACAGCTGCACATATTGCCTTAAACTACACGGAAGTAGTATAGTGCTGTTCACCCTTGTTATGCTCTACCTATCTCACAAATGATTCCAGATTTGTTTGCACTTTCTTGTGCAACTAACTGATTGCTCACAAATTTGCACAGCAGGAACAGAAATACAATGGGAGTTTCTGACCATCTGTGAGTCGAAGCTTTCGTGAAACAGTTACGCAAATGTTCAATAAGAAAACTGGATGCGTACTATTCATTAGCATCTATGCAACCTGTAATCTAATGTGGCCAATGACACCGCAGCAGTCAACCTTAGTGTGATGGGATGCCACACATCGAAAAAAGTTCTTTCGAGACCTAAACGTTGTCCCCAGCGCAATATTTTCAAATCACTGAAAAAGTTTTAGGGTGCGACAGAACTAAAAAAAAAGACTGTAAACTTTTGGGCATTCAACGTTTCGCTTCATGGCCACCTTCATCTCCGTCATAAAACACCTTCTCTGAAATTACCACCTCGTTCCTTTACCTAAAACTTATTAGCAGGTCATAAAATTGATTCAGACTGACGTCTAAGCTCATAACTCATAATAACCCCCTCTCTTTCTCACTCTTTCTTTCTCTCTCTGTATGCGCTGATTCATTGACAATTGAGATGTACAGTTATGTCCCGTAAATGATGGCAATGCTTATAGACGGAAGAATGTAAAAAATGATTTAAACTTAGAGATCTACAACAGGAAACAGAAGTGTTAAGGTTAAATATCTTTTTCACACTGATTATTGTGTACATGGCCTAATGAAAATGCTCGTGTCCTTATGCTTTCTGCTTACACTGTTACGTGCGTATACGAAGTGACCTTGAAAGAAAAGGGAAGAAATAAGCACGGCGTCGTTACTGTTTCTCTCTATGGAGCACACCTGTGATACGCTAAGCCAGGTACTCACCTTCTTGGTAGACAGCAACAGTAACACCAAGAAATGCTCGGGCAGGTTCTCTCAAGAGCCCTCTATGCAATGCCAAAACTCCCACTTCACACTGCAGCAACGAACTTGCAATGCTATTGTGAGCTTTCAAGGGGAGGTACAACCAATGACAAAATGTGAATAATATTAATAATAATAATAATAATAATAATAATAATAATAATAATAATAATAATAATAATAATAATAATAATAATAATAATAATAATAATAATAATAATAATAATAATAATAATAATATTAATAGCTTCGCCACACATCCTCTGATTGCCTTTGGCACGGTTTATGGAGAATATGCGAGTGACACATGGGAGAAGTTCCCTCGCAATGAAGAGAGATACGATATGGCCACTAGTAGCCCCTCGTTTTTTGTACCATTACGATCTATGTCAGTAATTAGCGCAGCGATGCATTGCCTTGACACGTATATAAACTGATTCCTTGCTCTACACTCTTTGAACATATTTGCCCACTCCCGTGCACGCATTCACTCTTGTCAACTTTTCTGCAGGACGGCAACGGCAAGGGGCAAGGCTGAGCAGGCAGATGTTGCAGCCCTGCATGCCAAGGACGATGCAGAGATGGCACGCAGCGTTTCCAAGCAGTTCGCTCCGGAGCTTTACACACCAGGTAAGTGGCGTCGGCAGTTCCTTGCGATGGTACTCATCTTTTTTTTCTGTTTTTTTTGGGGGGGGGGGAGGGCAGCGTCTAGCATTCGTGAGGTTGTTAATAGGCGCATATATCAAGTTTAGCAACCTTTAAATACAAGGGGAATTACCAAAATACTCTTTGACTTAAGGACGAAATGTCACAATGCACTATTATGTGCTGTAATGCTACTGAGTTTTAAGTAGCCTTACCTGAATACGCGAGGGTCACGCCCTGACCAGCATGCACTTGCGCACACCAAGGCCGATCGTCATTCCAGAGTCTACAAGGCATGACTCAGAAAGCTATTGCTTTTGTTTCACAAAAAACTATTTACGGTTGATCGATCGTCTTCATTAATGTCTTCGCTACCACAGTGGCTGGCTATGGGCGTGTTCATGCGAAGGCGTGTTCTAAATTTCTAAAGAGCACCATTACTTACAGTTCATTGATACTAACAAAAATCTTTCAAGAATCCTTAGATACATCAACTATTGCTACTCAATGGAAAATCGGGAAGGTAGTGTGAATTTTTAAATCGGCTCATAAACGCTCTCCGAATAACTATCGCCCAACTTCCCCAACAAGCACTTCCTGTAAACTATTAGAACATATAATTTTCACCAACCTCATTACCTTCCTTGAATCACTCTTTTTTTTTTACACCAGCACAACATGGCTTCCGCAAGCATGTTTCATGCGACACACAACTTATATCATTCACTCACAAACTGCATCAGATTTTGGACCGATCATCGTGCGCCCACTGTATTTCTTTAGACTTCAGTAAAGCTTTCGACAAAGTCTGTCACCAACTACTACTTTTCGAAGTGAGCCTACTAAACCTTGGAAATAATTTACTGAAGTGGATTGAGTGTTTTTTATCAAACAGGATTCAGTATGTTACTGCTAACAATCACAATTTGTCATCTTCTGCGGTCAACTCAGGAGTACCCAAGGGTCGGTCCTTGGTCCGCTTCTCTTTCTTATTTATTGTAATGACCTCACGTCTTCTATTTATTCTAACATTCATCTTTTTGCATATGATTGCGTCATTTTTCGTGAAGTAACCTGTGATAATGACATTTCATTCCTTCGATCTGATCTTCACACCGTAGCAGCCTGGTGCAGCACATGGCGAATGGATTTAAATATTGGCAAATGCAAGATAATGCGCGTAACAAGATCACCCAACACCCGCTAACATACTACATAACTAACGTCCCGCTCGATCCGGTCAACTCATATAATTACTTGGGTGTTTTCATCAGGAAAAACCTATCTTGGGCACCTCACATCGAATAGATTACTAATAATGCCAATCACATGTTAGGATACATACGTCGTAACTTTTCAAAAGTAGCATCAGCCTTAAAATTGCTCTTATATAAAACGTTGGTAATACCCAAACTAGAAAAACTAAAATATGCTTCTTCTGTGTGGGATCCTTACCGCGATAACTTGATCACTTCACGAGAACTTGTACAGAATAACTCCATCCGTTTCATACTGTCTTAGTATAGTCGCATTGCCAGTATGACATCGATGATATCTAACTTAGGCCTCCCTTCACTTGCATCACATCGTAAAATATCCCACCTGGCCACATTTCACAAAATATTCTATTATGCCGCCCTTCATGACCAACTAATCCTCAATACTCGGTACGTATCTCATCATGTCGACCATCGTCATAAGGTTGGCATTGCATTATGCAACTCCCAGGGTTTATATCAATCGTTCATACCTCGTGCATCATTAGATTGGAACCATCTACGCGAAGACATAGTAGCTATTACTAATAATCATCTTTCCCATCAAGAATCACCTAATTTTGTGTAATCGAAACTGTACAAAGCAATATGTTACGTATTTTATGTATTATGTTCATGTTGTATTGAAGTCGTTGTCCTTACACAGCTAATATTGTATAATCAGTAGTTCTTGTTTGTTGAATAACTTATTTTCGTGCTGTATTTTGTTACTTGTAAACTTGTAACCACTGCCCTCTATAATGCCACATGACCTTGAGGGTAAAAAAAATGAAGTGAAATGAAATGAAATGTAGCTTTCCAGCTTACAAACAATAATGTTATATGTACCCTGAAGCCGTATCCACCAGCCTTCTTTACTTGCATAAGCGTATACCCAATCGAAAAGATGGTATGGTGACTTCCTTGTTATCTTAATCTTGTGCCACATATATTCAGACTGCGGTTGTCCGGTGATGCGAAAAGCGCTGTAAAAAGCTCCAATATGCCTCAAGAAGTAAAAAAAAAAATAATAAAACGTATACATTTAGTAGACCTACAGCACCGAATGGTAGAAGAAAGCACATGTCTACCCACAAATTACAAAATAAACACAGAGATGTGTCTTACAAGCGACACCAGTTTCAGACAACTGCAGGAAATAACAATATCGTCCAAATATTGATGGAGTCGTCGGGAACAGACTACTGCCAAAAGCAGAGTATGATGTTTTGTGCTTTTGAGTGGATATGATTCACAGCTGGTGTTTCTTTTCAGCATGGATTTATTTACGTTTAACTATAGCTTGCAGTCTGGGTCAGCGTTTACAGAAACTTTTGAATACCTTGTACTTTTGTATTTAAAGAAAACCCTATGGATTCTATTGGGTTAAGCATGGTAATCTGGAGCTGCACTTACGCTACTAGAAAAGAACTTTGAACAAAATAATGTACACAGAGCCTTCCACAGTTGCGGTTATACTATTTGGATAACAATAAAATTAGGGCAGCTCCACGCCTTTCTAACTAATAATAGAAGTATGAATAGTGCAAGACGAAGTTAGCTTACCCTACAACAGATCCCTCAGGGACAATGAAGTGTAACAGGGCTCTCTTTCGGCAGATAAAAATTATCTTTAAAACTTCAGTGACAGTATTTCGCCATTATGGGGTAACCATGACGAGAGGAAATGAAGGTGATTGTTTCATTTTTAATTTCGTGCCGAAACTACTAAACATCAGTGTGACTTCATGAAGTTTGAAATCTTCTTGCATATTTCGCCTACATTCTAGCCACATTTAATGAAATTTTCTTTGGCCCCTACATTAACGCTTTGTGACTTTTAGAACAATGTGTAAACAATCTTCACTGATAAGCGATTACGTAGGCCCTATAGCAGACGCCGTCAGAATCTGACATTGTGAATTGGTGTGGGAACTTCAAGATAGTGTCAACACCAGTAACTATTTTTTGCACGTTTTCTCGCTAACCAAGCCTATTTTCGCGGTGAGAGTGTTGCTTCCGGCGTTGTGAAATTTTGATTTGCTTATACGAGAAAAAATTGGTTTAACTTTAGCGTCCTTTCAAGTCTTTTTTTTTTGCGATTAAGGTTTGCGTTTAAGGCATTATATTTTTGTTGAATGTGTGCTGTTAGGCCGGTGTTGTGTATGAAGTGAACTAGTGTCTTGTGGAATCTGTTTTCATGTATCCAGCAATTGTAACTGGCTGTGTCGCTGTAGCGAAGGCCGGCTTGAGCGAGTTGACGGGAGCCACCTGGCTACAACCTTTTACATGTCCATAAAAGATGATATGGACCTGTTTGCAACGCTAGAGTGGGACAATATGGACAAGTATCACCAACTCGTAAATGTGACCAGTTTGATGATGATATAACGGCCGGTGTAAGGGCCACCACTGCCCGAAGCCTCCTAAGCACAACTTCCTCCGCCCTAGTAAGGTGATGGGGGACAGAGCAGACACACGGTAGAATGAGAGCACGTATATTCTGCCGGAGAACATTTTTTACGGGTATGGAGTAAGTATAGGGGCTGAGGTGGGAGGGGAATGGCTGGAAGGTCTATGTCTGGAGGGCAGTGTGCCTGGTGGTCAGGAGCAAGGTTGTGTGGGTTTGCAGCATGGCCTTGAATCCAACGTACTTTTACGCAAGTAGCCGTATTATGGTTCGGCTTATGAATCGCCTCGCAGATCTCCATCGCCTTGTGCACTTTCTTGAGCTCCTTAATATCTCCTATATAAGGAATCAGTGTCTACGTCAATCTGCTTAATTGTGGACAGCTTAGAGGTAGCATCCTGGATTGCATCGTGGATGACTTGAAGTTCCATCACAAGAGGAGTGGCTTCCGTAGATAAATAACGCTGGTGGCCACTGACGAAATTATGCGTAGTACTCAGAAATGATGTCCTTCTGCCGTCTTGCAGGATAGCAGCATCTGTATGTAGTTTGCAGGTATTAGCACATGGGACCTCAATGATGGAGCGTTCATCAACTATAGATGATGTATCGGAGCGCCGTAACTTTGTTGTTTTATAAGATGTGATAGTGGTGAATTCCCAGGGAGGCATAGACTCGGGCTGGTTGTCAATGCGAGAGCCACGTTGAAAGTGAGCATGCAATGCAGCAACAAGTGGCACAAGTTGCCTTTTGATTTCACGAGCTTTTTCTCTTTGCCAAATCAGCTCTGCAATTGTGTTAAGCTGAGCGTGCTTCTGTAAAGTTGGTATGGGAGTGATGCGTGGCAACGCTGTTATTGTGCGCATAGCATCACAGTTAAGTCTCCAACTGTGTCAACTGGGTCAAAGTTAACCGTGAAATAGTGCCTGGTATAAAATTCTTGACTGCAAAACTGTGTGGGCGAGCTGTCGAGCTACATGTATATGAGCTCCAGCTGCTTTCGATGCAATGCGGCGAATCAGATGAAGTGTTTTTGTGGAACTCTTACTTTGCGAAGCCAGTGCACTCCACTGCCGGACTGGTGAATATCAAGACCTAGTATGCGGACCTCCGAAGCCTCAGGAACGGTCACTGCACCTAGTGTAAATGTAAAGAGGCACTGCTTGATTTTTTTGCGTCCTCGTTTGTTAGCTACCTCAACATAGCTTGATTTTTGGGTGGACATGTCTAATCCTGCGTTCCGAGTGTAGCTCTGAAGAACATCAAGTGCTTTCTAAAGCTGCTGTGCTTGTCTTGAAACCTCTTTATGCACAGACCAT